CCCCAAAACCCCAAAACCCCAAAACCCCAAAACCCCTTGATCACCTTCTCAGATTGGCAACTCTTTTAGCATTTCCGAATTTCTCACTTAAGGGAGAGATGACAATAAGCATACAGGGATTATTTTGGAAATGCCGATGTCCTAAAGCCAACCCTACTTGTAGATTTAATCGTCCACTGGTTCTTTTCGACCTGGTCTTGACTATTAAACCAGCCATTGTTTGACTCTTGGTTTCTAGGAGAGTTCTTCTCATGATCCATTGCTGTTAATTTATTAATTAGAGAAATACATGGATTTAATAAAGATAAACTGGTTACTTACTTGATCCCTTAGTGGGAGCGAGATGGCCCTCAACCTCATGAGTATACATATTATGGTTCCTTCCACCATAAGCTGTCTTTACTCTCTTGAAGATAGTTGTCTTCTCATTTCCTGCAACTTGAGAAGAGTTAGCCTCATGTTCAAAGAAGGTACTCTGATTATTTGACTTCTGTTTCTCTCTTTCCTGCTTCTTTTCTCTCTCCTTCTGCCGAACTAAAGATTCTTTTGAGCTAGGAGGGGGCTTGAATACTCCTTTTTGGTTGAAGGAGGAAAACAGAGGTTGCAAATCCACTTGTGGAGGCTTATGCTCAACAATAACTTTCTCTCTTTTAGCATGAAGAAGGATACCGTTACTCCACCTCATTTTCGCTTTCTTTTTCTTAAATTTTCTTGGTAATTTTAGATTTTTAGGTTTATCTGAAGTCTTCTGGGAATTTCTTATCAGTTGCGAACTATGAGTTTTCTCACAATATTGTTCATAATCTTGAAGTAGTAAAGTATCGTTAGAGTTCTTCATCAACATATTATGCATGAGCTTAAGATGGGATACCTCTTTTGGACTCTCCTTATACCCTTTCTTCTCTGTCCACCATTTCTTAGCATGTTTGTAAAAATGTGGTAACGGATTATTATGAATACCATATTTCACATTAGGCTCAAATTCTTCATTTTTCTTAACAATAATTTTAGGTTCTCTTGCTGAGAGCCTCATGAAGCAGTCTTCACGATGGTTTAGCCTTTGCTCAGAGGTTTTGTGATTATCAACACAGTTCTCATATTTCTTCATATCTCTGAGTAACATCTTCTTTCTGTTACTTAAGAGCTTACTACGAGCATTTATTTTAGGCTCTTTGACGTATTGTAGCGTAGGATCACGAGGGTCAATTTCATCAGGCCGAATTTCAACCTGAGATTTTGAGTAACGAGGCTTTGGATTAATCTTCTTTGCTAAGTTAGTATGAATTTTAACCCTCTCAAGCTCAATTTGGGATTTATTTTTAGTAAATTCCTCAAATTTATGCTGTTGGTCTCTTTGCTCTTTGGCTAATCTTCCTCTTCTAAGAGTGGAGAGTGAAGAGTAGTTAGTTCCATATCCTTTTATTTCCTTATTTCTCCTGATATCAGCATTTAATTGATACACATCAAAGTCTTCATCAACAGTTTTGAGGTCAACAGTATCCCTAGGTTTCTGTTTCATCCCTGCTGGAAGAGTTTCGTAATGAGGAACAGTAGATGGAATCTCCTTTACTAAAGTATTAGTCTTCAAATTTTTGTTCTTTCTGGTTTCTAATAACCCCGTCCTGGTCTTATTATTCCTAGCGGTCATCGCCTGGGCTGTGCCTGGCCGACGAGTCTCATGACCCCACCACGAAGGTACTTTAACCAGATCCATTGACAATTTTTATTTTATTTTTTCAATATATAAATTTCATAAAGGGGTTTTGGGGTTTTGGGGTTTTGGGGTTTTGGGGTTTTGGGG